TGGTAGTTTTGAGCTCAAAAGATCTTTCAACGAACATGCAAACCAAGTAATGGTATGGCGTGTACTTAACATTTATTTTTAACTTAAGTCTGAAATAACGACAAACATGTATCAGTAACCCAATATTTTATTTTAATACGTGCTTAACGTAATTTTAAATAGTGTTATTACAATATTACGTTGTTATTTGAATTTAGTGTTAACGTACGAGTAAAAAGTATGAAATGTACCATTTTTAATGTAATTGCAAACAATTTATAAATAATAGGTAAACATATACAATAAATCAAATCTGTATAATTCGATGTCAACAAGAAAACCATTACTGTATCTAACTAAAGGGATTCTAAATTGAAAAATGTTGAGGTTTTTATTTTATTTTGTTTTATATAAGTTACACCATAGTCATATATTACTGGTATAGAAACGACAAATAAATTAGCATGGAAAACAATGACCATAAACCTTCCACGAACTACAAAGTTGAATAAGGTATACATCATGATCTATGAAATGTGACAAACCGAGAAAAAGTCATTTAATCCTAATTTAAATTGTAAACCGACGATAAGCGGCAGTGATAAAGAAAGGCATGCTCTAATTTTTCAACAAAAGTAAGGGTCACCATACTAACGTTGACGGTTTTAATCATTTCCGAATCTGACCAAGAGACAAAAAATCGATAATTTCTGATAAATATTTACAATATTAAACTACTCATAAAAACTTATTTCGTGATCGGTTAACGGATAAGTCTAAATCTATCAACTCGAATCTATTTAATAGAGTGTGTCACTTTTATTCCATTATTCGCATGATTCAGTTTTATAAATCAAACATTTTATAATTTGTTATCACTCGTAAATATTATCAAATTTACGTGTTAATACTATTTAATACTATTGAGTGATGTACATTTTTACTCATTTAAAAAGCAATTTATTTGTTCATTTAATGAACATACAAATATATATCCAATAAACGTAATAAATAAAAAAACATTAAATAATTATCGCATGGTAAACAATTAAATTTTAAATTTACGTTTTATTAAATATAATAAAAATATTTACCAAAATAATCATTAATATTAAATTAAAAGTATTGCAATTATTATGCGTTTTAAAATCGTGATTGAAAAGTCAATTTATTACTCATAAAATACGATTGTTATGAACATTTGAAAACAAATAATGTGTTAACTTCAATAAACATTTTGTCAACAATGATCTCCGTCATTTTAATTACTAATTACTATTTATATAATATTACTTGATGGCAGATAAAACAACCTGACATCAGCACGTAATATTATTACGATTAAAAGAGATTTCAAATGATTAAAACAAACTCACACGATTGACTGGCATGGAATATAACAAAATTTACAACACAAAAACGGCAATGGAAATAATAATAATAATAGTAATATACGATAAGAAAAATTGTGAATGTAGAAAACGCGCCACTTGTCAGGATGTGCTTGTGTGTTTTATAGCGGTCGACGTGAACATAGTTTTGAATGCATCTGTTTCATCAGGAAAGATCTCCAAGCTGCAATGTAGTTAATTTTCCAATATAAAAGCGATTACATACTTCTATTCGTGGTGGCAGTTGTCTTGTTATTATTATTATTATTATTATTATTATTATTATTATTATAATTGTCTAATTATTATGGATTGAGTCCATAATGAATAATGTATGTCTGAGCACTTAGAGATCCCTATGACAATATAATGACGCTTGCTTAAAGTTATAAATTATAATTACACGGGATCACGTGTCATCATATCACATATTATAATAATATTAAATAAACATTAGAATGTTCATAGCCTAAAGGTCAGTTAGCTGTATCAATTTGTAATTGTCCTATATATAAACACAAACGACTATATATAAAAAAAACGTTCGTAAATCCAGGTACAGAACATGCGACATTTTTAATTAAAATATGTGATATTATGTATTTTACTCTCAATTTAATAGAAAGAAAAAATTAAAAACTGACATAACATTTGATACGTGTTAGTAACTATAAAATGCTGTCTATCGCTAATATATTTTGTCAATGACAGAATAATATCAAACGGACGAGTACGAAAAGATTTTGATGTTTTGATATCAGTCATATTAATCAATACCATTTAACAGTTCTATGACATTAAAATACTATGTTAACATATTTTACTTTACCAAAGAAGCGTTTGTAATACGCAAGACAAGTGATAAAACGAGACACGTGTTTTTAGTAGGCCAAAAATTATTATTACTTTTTTTTTAAAGCGTTCAAAAATATTTATACCTATAATTTATATTGATACTCCGTGATGATAATACAAAGCAAATGTAAAATTTTCAAGCGTTTGAGATATACTTAATATATTATGGACAGTATAATAATAAAATATAAATATTGTAATGGCGTTTCATTGTTTCACGCTATTATACACATTATTATTTAAAAATTATTTGATAGACGTTTTGGTCGTTATAAACTCATGAATCATTTCACCTGAAATATCCAGAAACCACTGTCGTTACTATTTAAAAATAACCTACCAGATTTGAATTCAGTAAGTTTAGATCAGAAAATATAGACAGTAAGCTGATATATTTGAAAAGTAATTTTTATTCAGTCGGCTTTGCGGGTAATCGTCGCACATACAACCTAACGACCATCCTTACCCTAATATATTAATATACTATATGTGTATTTGGGTGTATAATTCCGATATTGTATAATGATAATCTGGATTTTATCCATTTGTAGTTTGATTTAATTACCACTAGGTTTAATTGAATTTTGAAATTGCCGTTGCCAAACAACGTGTGTTGTTGAATTTTATTTTTTGAACGATTTATATACAGTATAGTATCTCAAAATAACCGTGTCGACTTAATATTATCTCCATGATAAATTTATATGAATACATAATATATACGGGTTTTTCAACAGTTATATATGCAAAATTTTACGATATAATTAAATTGAAATTTTTTTGTTAACTGTTTAAATAACTACATTTTAAATTCACATCAATCATTGATGTGCTAAAGTCTCACAGAGCTATGTAGAATGATATGGGACTTTGGGACATACTGTATTTCATTACTATACAGACCAAACGAATTTAATGAGCGTGTTCTTCGAACCAAACACTAAAGTCGCCAAACTAATACATTATTCAACATATTAGGTATATACGAATTACGAGCCCACGAGAGTTATTTCATAATAATGTTTTACCATCGAACATGTCGCATGTATCATGTATTCACTGTGTAAATGCGTATTAGTTTCGTTGAAATAATATTATTATACTCAGGTAGTCAAAAGATGTTTAATATTTTTAGTTTAATATCTAAAAAGACTTACAATTTTTCCTATGTTCTTAGTTATGTATAAAATAGAAAAAAAAAATGATTAATTTATAAATGTATATAGTTTAAATATTTATCATTATGCGAATTTTATAGTCAACAAAACACGAGCTACATTATTTACATTAGCTAAAATTCAATTTGAAAAGAAAAAAAATTCATGTATATCAAATTTGTTAATAACACCTGATTAAGTTTCGCCATATTTACGGAACTCGAATAAAAATTATCCATAGTCAATGTCAACTACAAGGGTTTTATAGTTTATTTGTTTCAAGTTTAGAGACCAAAAACGTTTTTAAAAAAAAATGTTCGTTCTAAGACAATTCGACCCCCTGGACTTGAACATAATAAATTACTCACAAGTTAATAGTGATTCTTTTTTGTTTTTGCTTTTAAATTATCATAAGATAAGTAAATGCGTAACAAATAATATTATAATATGTATTGAAAGCCGTCTGATAGAAATCTCAGAGTATCGTTGGCATCGAGACAATTGTGCGTCTGCGAATAAGCTCACTACCATGATATATGTTTATCTATTTTGGCGTTACTTAAAAAAAAATACTTAAGACGGTAAGACGGTAATACATCATTACATCGAAATATGTGAACATCTAAATAAAAAAAATCTCATTTAACGCAGAAAAATGTAGAAAGATAAATACCTTCACACTGTAGTTTAACTAATTTTTTATTTTTACGGAAATTTCGATGTACAAAACATGACAATATTGTTTTATTTTTCCATAACGCACTATATCACTTTTTAAATTACACGTACACATTCTGATGATTAAATATAAATATATATATATATATATGAAATATGTATATGTTATAAAATGTTTGTTCAAAAACAATAGTAAAAAAACCGCTGGTGTTTTTTGACCGATGATATTGCTAAGTAATTTATTAAAAACTTTATGAACTCGTAAACATGTGTATAATAATATTATTATAAGTTCACAATAATAAAGTATAAATGAATATACATATTTCTAGAGTTGAATTTAATAACAATATTATGTAATTTAAATGTTGTGGGCAATAAGATTAATGTTTCAAAACAAAACTGATAGAATTTAAAATAAAACTATGCAGATCGGCTATTATTATTATTATTATTGTTATTATTTAAAATTGTTTTTCAAACAAAAAATGTACATATTTTTTTATATATTCCATTATTTTTGTATCAACGAAAACATATGTTACTTTTAATTATTTTGAGTATTTTTTTAACAAACTTATCAGTTGGTAAGTTTAAAGAATTTAAAAATAAAATGTCGATCTTAATTATGAAGTAAATATTAAGTAAAATACTACAAATAAAAATGTATAAGGAATATAAATTTAAATTATCATATTCAGTAACATTTTTGTTTAATATAATTTTGAACTCTATCTATGTGTTAATTGTAATAATGATATTATTTTAACTATTCGTTTTAAAATTTATCTCTAAACACATTATTAAGATTCTCTTGAAATGTAGATTTTTATTATGAATGAAGATACATATGTATCTTGTTATATATTTTGTAGTAAATAATACTATAGATGCTTTAGATAATAGTTATTTTTAATAACAGCTGTATTTTTCGTTTCAGGTGACATTATCTATATCAATTTTGATTAGTCTTCACGTTTTTTTCCTGCTGGTTGTCGAAATTATACCCCCAACATCATTAGTAGTTCCATTACTGGGAAAATACTTGATATTTGCTATGATATTGGTTTCAATAAGGTAAGTTGATCGTTATTGAATTTAATGAAATATTATGAAAATGTTGATGTAGCTCATGATTATGGTATTGTTTAAAAGATAAAGATTAAATTTATAAAATAATTTATTTTTTTTGACTATGTAAAAACAAAAATAAGTTAAAATAAACAATAGGTTGTTAAACTAAAAAAAAAAAATATTTATTTTATAAATGTTTTGAAGAAAATTATAAAATATGTATCATATTTTTGTAACTGTTTTATAACTTATAAAAATACACACATAAATTACAAATTTACACATAAACAATTTTTTAATTTAAAAAAAATTAAATGTTACCTACATGATAAGTTATTGTCTTGCAATTTTACATAACCTAAAAGCATAAATTAAGTACACATGTCAAATTTAAAAATAATTATTAGGCATAATATAACATTAGTAGATTATTATTGAAAGTGTAAAAAAAATATGTAGAACAGTTATATCATGATATTATAATAAATATAATAAAATAAATCTTTATAAAAAATAAAAAATGTTATTAAGAAAAATTATAAAAATAAATTTTTAACGTTGTACACAGTTTTAATATGAAATTTTACTCAAAACTAAATTTTAGAAATATTTACACTATTAGCTAATAATATTTAATAATATAAAAGTACATTTTAGCTCATTAGTAATTGATACGTATATCCATTCTAAACAATGCTATTGCATAAAAATAAATGATGCACCAGTTAGTAAATTATTTTTTTTTTTTTAATATTATGCTTGTTATGAAATGTGATAAGTATAAACTTAACTCAATATCAGTACACTACATATTTCACAATAAGACCTTTCAACTTTTTAGAGCACAAAAATGCTTCAATCGTCAATGTTAAAAGTGGTTTCTGGTACAAATTTGAACTAAAAGATTTGAACAAAAAATAAGTATGAAATTCTTAAAACTTTTATTAAATATAAAACTGATAAAAAAAAAACAGGAAACAGGAATATAATAATAATATACAGGGTTATAACGCAACACCGATTTTTGATTTATTCTCATGTTGTAGTTCTAAAATAAATAATCATAGATGCTTATGATTTTTCCCAAACTTTAAGATTATTATTTTTAAGATATGATATTATTTTAACTTTCCGGATTATTTGTCTAGTTATGTTGATAGAAATGTTTCTACGACAAAAACCTTGAATATTTAATACACAATAAATTGTTCGCGTTAGTTATGTATACTACAGTTCTAAAGATCGAAAGTCTATGTACTGATAATTATTTTTGTATACATTTAATGTCCAAATGTTAAAACACTTTATCAAAACCATAAAAATTCGTAAGTATTTTTTAAATTACATTGCAAGTTGACCTAGACTTTTGGTTTGTATTATTTTGAAGTTATAATATTTATGTGTTAAGTGAACGATTTTAAACCAATCTATAGATTACTATTATTCGAATGGACCTTATTTAATACACGAATAGAGAATTTAACTTATAAATCTATGAACGTCAATAAATTAGCTAATAAACTTTTTTTTTCTTTAATACAACTCTGTCGTAATAATACACATACGACAGTAGATTTTCTTATTCGGCTGGAACACGCATAGTTTCCGTTGAAAGGAAGAAATAAAAATTACGTTAGCAACATAGATTATAATATTATTACTTTTAGTAGCTACCCCATCGGAATATTATATTCATCTATGCACAACACGAACGACGTAAATTGAACGTGACAGACGAAATTAATTTAATATGGAAGATTATACTAACTGCAGCAGCATCAGTACACCAACAGTACGATATAATCGTCACGGCATACTTCCACGATAGGTTTAGAGATTCGAAATTCAAACACGCGAAACAAACGATCGGTTTCGCCTAGAAATAAGAAAACTAATTTCCATGTTCGCATTAAACTGCCTCATGTTTGCATAGGTACCTGTGTGTAATATTATGGCGTAGCTGTCACGATACCTTACATATTTCTTATGCGTTTTTTTCTCTAAAACCGTTTGCATCGCGAGTGCACTACTAATGCAATTTATTCATAGTTTTGATATTAACTTCGCCCGTGTACACGTTGTACATACAACGTGTACACGCATATTATAATATTATAGCCACGGTATTAAACGCGTATATTTTAAGCCGTGCGCCATAGTCAAGAGCTTTCGAACATTTTACGCGAAATAATGTCAAGTCCTGTACTTCAAATATTCTGCAGTAACGTCGCTCGATATAAGTATAATATAATGTATAGTATCCAGCATTTTGCTGCACACAGCTTTCAAAATTATACACACATGCGTAGACACGGATACTTAATTAAACTAGTAGTATTATATTTGGTTAACACTTCCACGCCGCTATTAAATTGATATCGAATATTCGATAAGTATTTTACTGTTTACATAATATACATACTAATTCAATCCCCATTACATACCAATTTTTTTTTAGCTATAAATTCATTACAATTTCAATTTTTAAAATTGTTAAGTGTACTTGAGGACCAGAATGTCAATTACTCAGAGCATACAATTTTATACCGTTTGAGTGGTGTTCTGGGGCAATACCAACTTTTTAATTCCAAATAAGTACCACTTTTTTTTTATTAGTACATTATTAAAAATATGGCATTTTTATTTTTAAATTGTGATGTATCCAAATCAAGATTTCAACGAGAAGGTTTTTTTATCTTTGTGTATTAAGTATAATAGGTCGATGATTATACAATTTTAAGATATAGTTATTGTGATTATTTGAAAATTATAGTCGTTTAATACTTATCTATCAATATCTTGTAACTATTAAAAATTATCAGAATATAATAAAAATATGGTTATTAATAATTAAGTTTAAAATGTCACAACAATTTCTTAAATAGTATAAAAAAAATCTATGTAATTAAAAATCTGATTTCAATATATTAGACAATTTTAGAAATCAGAATTTTAGAAACTTATTATCAATAATGTGAGTATTAAGGTATGTATGCAGGCGTAAATCGTTTTGTACGTTATCATGCACGGATAATAAATATAATCAAAATTTGTAATTATTAATTTTCATTGTTTTAGTTAAGTAGTAAACTAGAAACATCATATTTTGACCCTTTATTGCTTGCCATAATTAAAAATATTTTTTACAACAGAAATAAATTAAGTGTAAATATTATATAAGACCTATAGTCTTACAATATTTTAAATCTGTTTGCGAATAAAAATTAAAATGATTTTAAATAGCTGGATGTTATAGACAATAGAGGTTCAATAAAGAGAAATGTTTGACGAAAAGGAGAGTTAAGTATTGATTTTTAAATACAATTTATTTGAGGAAAAAGACGTACAATTGATTATTAAATGTTACAAAACTCGTCTTTACGAGAGAAATAGGGTACACGAGGAACAGTGATTAAGCCTTATGTAACAAATTATGACCCAGGCACGTAGCCTGAAGTATTATACGACTAATATGGGTTGGCTGACGTTTAAGACCTAAAATCATTCATCAAATATATTTATATGTTAACACATTTATGTTAGTTGAAAACAATACACAATAATTATAACATTATTTTTGACATGTGGTTGGTTTATTCGAAAACTAATGATATTCAATAATGATTGTTAACGATTTACGAAAATATACTTAAAATCAAACATTATTTTTCACGTGTTTGCATATATTTCCAGAAAATATTATCAAAACGATTTTTTTTGTTGCACGGCGCTTAAAATTTCGATGAACCGAATGATTTCCGATAAACCCATTACCACGCTTACCGAAAAATGATCCATTATTTTATTTATGCTTGGTCAAGTACGATACATTTTTTCCGAAAATAACTCAACATATTATATTAACATTATATAGCGAAAGCTGGTATTCATTAAATATTTATAAAGTTCATTCCTTTTTATCCGCAATCGAACCAGGAATGCATTATTGTGATTAAATGCTTTATTTTCAAATCACGATAATGTAATACGAACAGTGGAACGCATTTTTGTTAAAATACAAATTACAAATAACGCGAATAACTGTTTTGGATATACGATCGTTAAACAAATGTGAAGTTTGTAATTATGATAGATATACAACATTCGATTTACCATCGTGATCCACCCTTTGATTAATTTTTACAACAGTTATTCAAATTAGGTTATATTTTTTCAAATTTTTCGTTATATACATGAAGACTACAATTATATATATTTTGATGATTTTTTTTTTTTTTCAAAACATTTAATACGTATCTTGCAGTGGCACAAATTTCTTTTTCACAACGAAGAACTGTCCATTGTGCTATACATAGTTAATCAAATTATTTTTTCGAGTATTTTGATGTATTTGAATAAAAATTTAAATGAAAAGTTTTTAAATTATTAAACTTTTTATATACCCAGGGATAATAATCATTGATTATGATTTTTATCAATTATAAAATAATAATGTAATATTGAGTCTAGTATAGTTATTACTTACTAAAATTATTAAACCATCATAGCCCTAAAATCAAAATTAATATATTTTTTATTCAACTATTGTAATCTTTTTTTTCCTTCTTTTAATTATTATAATTAATAATATTCTAAGATCATAGTACTTAAAGCCTAATAAATTTACAAATTTAAATGTTCAATATTTATATTAATAAACATTAAAAAATAATTTGCTTAACAATATTTAATAAAAAAAAATTTTATTTATCATAGCCTATAAAACATTCCAACTTAAAAATATAGAAAATGTGAAATCAACAGAACACATTTTGTGTTATCATCTTTAATATAAAAATGAATTAATTTATTAATTATTTAAAAAATTAGAGAATGACGTGTAATATTTATGTTTTTTAGTAATTTTTTTTTTTTAGTTATAATTTCAAAGCAAATTATAAGAAAGTATATAAATATAAATTATTATAATATAAAAATGTTCATTACTCACTTATAATTTAAAATGCCATATAAACGTGAAAAACTACAAAAATAGATTATGT